TATTAGACAGCGGCGGCGGAAGGCGCTCACATCTGTTTGGGCTCGCATTTAATGCGTCTCTGCAGCAGTGCCATCCAAAGACCCTTAGGGTGGCAGCAGCTAGACCCAGGACTGTCACTTGTGAGTGCTCTCCGTCGCATTTCATGGGGGAGGGGGTATGTGCGTGTGGTTGGAAAGGGGGATCATACCAGGTGTCTGGAAGTTAAGTCGGCGCAGTTCCACGGGGTCCGTGGGATGGTGCGACGGAAGCTCCTTGCTGCTGGGAAGGCTTCCCTTCCGGCCGTCGGACTCCGCTCGTTTCCTGAAAGGACCGGCAGAGCAGGTACACCGTCAGCATCACATAATAAGCCCAAAATAGTAGCTTTGTCAGGTTCTGTTTGGAGGTTCTTGTGTAGCTCCTGCTACAATACTGCTTATACTAGTACCTGGGTGTTCATTGGAACCTCAGCCTAGCTGCGCTTATGCCTAGTCGACTCCTTCACAGCATGAATGTTTGCAATGTGCTATTTGCTCAGTTGTATGTCATCATAGACAAAAGCATCGGCTAAATAAAGTAACTGGAAATGCAATGGATACTGGAATACAAAGCAAGAGATGTAGGGATCACTTCACTACGTGCTTAAAATATAAATAAATATATACAGTATGAAAGCAATTTGATCTTAGGATCCCATATCAGTGTTTCTCAAACCAGTCCTTGAGCAAAAATGTGGACTGTCTGGCAGGGAGTTGTGAGGGAGCAAAAACGTGGACCGGCTGTGGGTCCCTGAGGAACGGGCTGGGAAACACTACCCTATATGACATCATATGATATTTCTGAACAGCCCGCCGATCCCTCCAATAAAAACATTATGACAAGTGAACCACAGTGGCAGTGGGCATGTGGATGGATATTAGCTAATGAAAAATTATTATAATTATTACCAGACTAGCTATACAAATGCTTCCTTACAAACTTTACGACTGCGCTGTATGAGATTTATAATGTATTTTAGTTAAAATATGTCAAATATGTCAAAACATCTCTCTGAATCCTACTGCAATATTCAACCTGCAAAATCGTGCTTTTGACCAGAGGTTAATTAAGTTATCAAACATTAATTTATTTCTGACTGGGGTGACAAATCAAATAATTGGTAACACTGCTAGCCTGCGCTCTACAGCGCCCCCTTGTTCTGTCTTGTAATATGGTTAATTCAGACGAGAAACATGCAGGCAGGAAGCAAGTGACTGAAATAAGACACAGATGGAAACAGGGCGAGGAGCTATTAATGTGGCAAAACAAGCTTAAAATTGGAATGGCATGGAACAGCAATCGGGAGCGGCGGACGGAAATAGCCCCTATGCGGCCTGGTGACTCTGCATGGGAAATAGCCCCTACGCGGCCTGGTGACTCCGCATGGGAAATAGCCCCTACGCGGCCTGGTGACTCCACAC